AGGTCACGTGTCGCGGCATACTTCGCCCACGCGTCTGCCATATTTTCCCACACAACATATGGTATATTATGTAATGAATGTTTTTTTTTTTCCTAATTTAGTATGTGAAATAATGATAAAAATAAATTTTAAGGGGTCCCAAAAATAAGGAGTATGCCCTTATTTAATATAGAGAAATTGTAATAAATAGTAGTGTTACTTTTGTAAGTAAATAAATAGTTACTTCAATTAGTTAGTAAATAGAAGATTTTTACAGATTTAAATTTATTTTTCCTATTTTACCCTCATTTTTAATTACAATACCGAAACCCTAAAAAATCCCCAAAATTCGAATCCTAAATTGTTGTACAATTTTATTCTCTCTCTCGCTCACCCTCTCATTTTCTCTCTCCTCACGCCTCTTCTGAGTCCGCTGGCCTTTCTCTCTCCTAACTCACCTCTTTCTCTTTCCTTGCTCGAAATAGAGGATCGCGAAGCTACGGCGAAGATCGCAAAGCCCTCTGGTTTTATGGTTGTCTGGAAGTCGCAATTCTTCTCGTCGTTCGTTGCATGGTTTTCCAGCTTTCAGAGAATATAACAGTGACAACGACACGGAGGGCATGGGTGGATCTGAGTCGTTGTTCATGATTCTACGGAGAGAGAAGAGAAAGGAGATGCAGGGTATTTCTAGAATTAAAACATTTTTGGTGTCAAATATGCTATAATTTTTTATTCTTTTAAAGTTCTGCTATAAATTTTAACTGTCTCATGCTAATATGCCATTCTGCTATAAATTTTAACTGTCTCACGCTAATATGCCATTCACCTCAATCTCCCTTTGGTATATTATGATGGACATGCCTAAGGTACGTCCCCATTAGTAACGGTTTTTTTTTTTTTTTTTTTGTACTTTGCAATTTGCATGTTTCTCAATATTAATTAAAAATTTTAATATGGTAAATAACGTTTCAATACAAAGAATTTTCTTTAATTGTGTCTCTACAAAGTAAATAAATATGCAAATAATTCAACTTATCATTTATGTTGGACTTGAATCTGTATAAGTCAACTTATCACGTACTAACAATGTTCTATTTGTTATAAATATTAATAAATACATGCAAGATATAACTATTTTCCAAACTAAAAAAATGATAGCATAAGATATTTACAAAACATTGTAAACTTATACGTAAGTTTTGAAATTTATTTCAAATAAAAGTATGGTCGTACAAAAATCAACAATTTCAATTTAGGTAAAATGATGGTTTAAAAAAAATTGAAGAAAAAGATGCATCTTCCCTATTATGAATAACATAGATATGTAATGAAGGGTCTGTTAGTTTACCAATCCATCCTAAAAACTTAAGCTGTTAGGAGGTGAACAAACAATAGTTTAATACTTTAACACTCCCCCTCACGTGTGGGCTGGACAATGGGCAATCGTGTGGGTAAATTAATTAGAAAGCCCAACACGTGAATATTTAAGCCTGGGTAAATTAATTAGAAAGCCCAACACGTGAATATTTAAGCCCGAGATATATTAAAGACCCAACATATGATGACAATTTAAATGGGGATAAAGAGTGTAATTACGGGAGTTTGAACTCATGACCTCCCGCTCTGATATCATGTTCGTTTACCAATTCATCCCAAAAGCTTAAGCTGTTAACAGGTGAGCCAACAATAGTTTAATACTTTAACAGGGTCTAGAGATTCACAAGTTGAATTATTTATCAAAGTAAGAAAAGTACTAAATGAGGTGTTTAATGGAAAATTTAATGAAAAAGTATTTTTAGGAGAAACAATAAAAAAACAAAAGATTTGAAAAGAACAAGCTAGTACTAAAGTAAGAGTATGTAAGCAAAAGTGGAAGAACAATTTCTTAGCATGCAAGCAAGAAGTTGAAGAACTAAAAAAAAAAATGCAACACTAATCCACACTTCTATATAAATCCATAGATAAAATAGGGTTTCAAAAATAAGGAGTTTACCCTTGTTTAGTATATAAAATAGGATCTTTCTCTGATAAGCTGAATTTTTACTATTGAATCTAGTTAAAATTACATTATATTACAAAAATATATAGAACAAACATGTTTTCAATTCAGATGTAATGACTAAAAACATAATCTTTTCAGTAGTTTATTTTTCAATGCCTATTAGAGAAATTTTCTATATAATAATGTTAAGTGATCTTTGTACACACAACTATAACTTGCACTCTATTAAGGTTAAAATGTCACTGTAAAGGGCTAAGATCAATGCGAATACTGGAGCAAGGCCTGAAATCTTTTGAGCATTTTAGTCATGTTACATTAAAATTAACAAACTAAAGTTAAAGAAGTGTTGGCATGAAATGTTTTAAGCAAAAGAATATCATTGTTAAAGGTGCAAGTGAAGTTCTCCTTATCTAACAGGGTACATGTTTTCTCTATATTCCTTTTCATCAATATTGCTAGTTCTTAAACGTGAAATTTAATACAATTGCATCAAAAAAACATTTTAAAACTAATAGATTCAAATGATGGAATAGCTAAAACAGAATCTTATAGATGTAACTCTTTTTCATACCTTGGTGTAAAAGATTTATTTATTGAGAGTTTTTCTAATAGGTTTTAAAAAAATTAAGTACTGATAATTCTCTGTTTTTGTCACCCTAATCCCACTTAAAATTGGTGACATTCCTCCCTTTTTTGTATTAAAAGAAAAAAATATATGTTTTTAACCGTTAGAACTTCATCTCGGGGCTAGAACTTCCTGTAAGTTTTCTTGTAGAGAAAAAGAGCAATTTTGTCGTCACTAAAGATATTTTAGTGACCATATCTTGTTGTCGCTAAGAAGTTGTCATCGAATCACACACACTTAGGTCTCGTTCATTTCGCTGATTCGAGTTTAGAATTCGAGTTTTTCTACAGTAAAAAGCTCTCACAAACAATCACATCTAACTTTTTTGCTACAGTAAAAAGCTCTCACATAAAATCACATCTCAACTCGAATTAAAAACTCGAATCAGCGAACTAAACGGGCCCTTAAAGCACACAAATGTTTAACAAGGTTCAATCTTAACATTTTACATCCTCGGCGAAAATCACCCCAACTTCCTCAAGCTTCACTAATGGAGAATTAGACCCTCCAACCTCATAAACAGAACTCTTCGGCCGTTCGTTTCACTTCTTGAGTTGATAATTTGAATTAAAAAGTAAATTTATATGAGAAAAATACTATAATAAAAAATTAAATCTGAAGTTTTATAAAAAAAAAAAATACTATAATAAAAATGTGAGTTATAATTCAAACTAAACAAAACCAACGGCCTTTGTATACAAAAAGACGAATGTGGCCGTTACTAACTAACCAACCCAATTACGGGGCCGGCTCAAGACAATAGGAGGCCTTAGGCAAAAATTTTAGATTAAGCATATAAATATTGGAGAAAGAGGGAAATAGACCAAGACTTAAGATGAATTAAAATTAATAGATCAATAATTTACATAAGTTAATAAATAGACTAAATTACTATTTTCGTCCATAATTTGTCTGGTTATGAACCATAACTTGACAAGTTATTGTCCATAATTCACGGTTTTTATACATAACTTCTCTGGCTATGAACCATAACTTAATAAGTTTGTTCATAACTTATCTGGTTATGAACCATAACTTGACAAGTTATGGTCTATTAATTTTCATAACTAAAAGTTGGCCTATATACTTTCTTAAGCTTTTCATATTGGCCTATTTTCTACTATTTCCCTATAAAATATCTAATAGCAATTGAAAAAGATATTTAGTTTTTTCACAATTAAATGTTCTACACATAATTTTATTTTTGCTAAGAACTATGCATAAAATTATTCTTCTAAGTTAACTTCTTCGACTCTAAAACTTTTTTTAAATAAGAGTATGGAATAAATCTTTCATTGAATAATATATTTGCAAACCTATTTATTTAAGGACTCCAGAGAGATTTGAGAAGTACGTGCATTTACATATAGATGCAAATAAAAATTATTTTGAAGATAATAAGGTTGGAGTTTTGTCAAAATTTTGAGAGAAAGCTTTAGAAAATAAGTATATTGGAGTAGAGAGGCTGTAACGGAGTGTAAAAATGTTATACCATTATCTTTGAAAAAAAAAATTCCTTTTTTTCCCTTAAACAACGTAAGAATAGATTGAAAAACTAGAAGTAAATTCAACATTAAAATAGTTTAAAACTTTTTTAGATATTTAATAGTCAAAAAGCAAATATCTTTTTTTTTAATGAAATTCTCGTACTATTTTGTAGTCAGCTTTAACTAAAAGAAAAAAAAAATTGAAAGTTGCTGAACAAAAACAACCAATTGATAAAAAAAATTTCGGACTGAAAAGAGGCCTAATTATTGAGAACTAATAGATGTTTATTACCATACATTAAGGGTCCGTTTAGTTCGCTGATTCGAGTTGAGATGTGACTTTATGTGAGAGTTTTTTACTGTAGTAAAAAAATTAGATGTGATTATTTCTGAAAGTTTTTTACTGTAACAAAACTCGAATTCTAAATTCGAATCGGTAAAATGAATATGACCTGATATATGCAATCATGCTTACATGCATGCACTTCTTTTATATATAATTTAGAAAATTAACATATATAAAACAAGTCCCTTCTTTTTATGTATGAATATTAGTGAGAGAGAACAACTTATATGATTAGAAATTAGAATATCCCAACTATATTGAATTCCTCTAGGAGCTCTGTCCCACATCAATTAGCCCCCACTAACAATTTTGTTAATAAAGAAAAAAGCATACAAAGTCTCAAGAAGGGAAAAGCAAACAAGACAACAAAAAAAGAAATCGATGCTAGACAAAAGAACTATTCAAAGTGAATATATAGCTGATAAAACATGATAGCTGACATAATTTAGAGTTAATATAAACAAACTTGAAATAAGTTTAACAATAGTTGTCTTAATCACAAGTGCGTGAACATGAATTGCATCATCTAAAATATATATGAACGAGTTTTTAATGGTTTGTTCAAATATAATGACGATTCCTCTGAGCAGGTAGTTCCTTCAAAAGCTGAATAACGGAATTGGCAGTATTGAGAGCTGCAAGAGATCCAAATGTACCAATTGCGCTCTCTCCCTCTTGTTTCCCAGCTATGTCTGATAGCCCTCTAATTACAATTACTGGGAAGCCATTTGACAAGCTTGTCTGACAAATTCAGTTACATTCTTATAAGATACTGTGCTCTATATACATAATATATATATATATATACACATAATCTATATACACATATATATACATATATATATATATATAAGTCTGGCACTTGCATTAGTCATGCATGTATAACTTTTTTGTATATGTAGTTTTCAATTTGTTTTCTTGTAACATTCAATAGAAATAGCCATACACTCATAAAAGAAGTTACACATATGAGCGAACTATATCACACATACATATGGAAAAAGGTTACATTTTCCTGACTCTACGATTGCCGGATTTAAAAACTATGCCTATATATATGTAACTGAAAAAGAGGATTTATAAATAAGTAGCTAAAAAACTTACCATAACTACAGCCGAACTCTCCATGTCCGTGGAAGAAACCTTAAAAGTGTTGAAAAGGAAGTCCCTGTAGGCTGCATTGTCCACAAAAATGTCGGACGTTGAGCCCTTGAGGCCCACAACCAGCTTGGGCTTCCCTTGGAGACATAAACTAGAATTCACACATTGTTGTAGTTCAATTCCCTGAAATAATACAAATTTCAAGTTGTAATTCAATCAAGAGAATATGCAGCGCCAGATCAGCATTCTACTGCACTAGGATTTTTTTCTCACCATTATTTTCAAGTTCCTAAGATCAGAACCGAAAATATTGGCTTCATTCATTTTGCTAGTTTGAGTTTTCAACAGAGAAAACATTATAACATAAAAGTTTAAATTTGAATTTTTTGAGAAAAACACTGAAACAAAAACTTAAATTATAATTTGAAGTAAAAAAATGAACAGTCATTATATACATACATGTGACAGTACAAACACATTTAATCTTCTCTCACTATTATTCACTATAAGAACTGTTCTTTTTCTAACCGGTAGGAATTGGTTAGATTATCTTTTTATCAACTCTTTAATTTATGATTAAAAATATTTTTATGTCACGCGCTTCAAATTAATACAACAACTAAAATAACAGTTTCCACGAAGACAGTTCCTAAAGTAAAACTTCCCATAAAAATATAAAATATTTGTTCAGTAGTTCTCAATCCAAAATAACATAAAAGTTTTTGGAACCGCAAAAATCTCACACTATTGTCTTTATCAATTTTGTTATATTTATTGTTTATTTCCCATCAACTTCATAAAGAAAAAGTAATTATAATAAAGTTAGAGAAAATCTTTACAAGTGGGGTATTTCTAACCTCAAGTTTGGAAGCAACATGAAGCCAATCTTGATTAACCTGTGCCCAAACCAAGGTCTGGGCAGTATTTGGTTCCCCAGAATTGGAGTATAATTGCTCAAAATTGAAACCAATGTGTCCCAATAAATTGTCTCCAGCTTTTGGTGAATTATAGTTTTTCACGTCCAAGCCTGCAATATCAGCAGTATCCACGGTCCCATTTGGGTTCTGCCAGTAAAAGTCAAATTAAGGCTACAAATCATTTAAAGCTCTATACTTTAATAATTAAGATATAAATAATAAATTCTTCAAAATGTAATGTATAAAAATTAAGAAATTATTTGATCGTAAACGAACACATATTATTTACTAATAATGCTTTGAACCATCAAATTTTTTATCGGAAACTTCTAGCGGTACTAACTTCACAGTTACCTTTAATTGTAATAAGATTAATAATAAATCATCAGATTTAAATTTAATCCTGCCAAAATTCATACTGCTTAATTTGAGTCTAACCATATATATTAAAACACTTTTATACTCCCCTCAAGTATTTTCCACCACAAATATATAAAAGCTCTTAAATTGTTAGATTATGTTATTTGACATTTGTCCCCTAAAGTTCTAGGAATTTGTCAACTTGTCCCTTAAAACTTTTATTTTTGACAATTTGCCTATCAACTTGCAAAACAGTTACAATGTATTTCATTTTACCCATTTCGCTCTAATCTTTATCAGATTTAAAAGTTGAAGAATTGAGAAATTTGTATTATGGTTCGAATTGAGATGTTAAAATTTTTAGTAATTTAACATAATCATCATTAAAATGGGGCTCATTGTAATTGTTTAGCAAGTTTGTGAGGCAAAATGTCAAAAATAGTAGCTTGTTGGTAAGTTGTCAAAATGTTCTGAATGCCAAAAAAAAAGTAGCTCATTGAATTAGGAAGGTGATGATCACTTACCAACCAATCCCAAATGCCAGTATTTACAAACTCTTTAGGAATGGTGACATCGCCAATGGACATGGAGTTGTTGATATTGCCAGCTATACCGAAATGGACAATCCCAGAAATGCGAAACAAATCCAGCATTTGTTGTGTTGTAGCAGCAGCATTGATCTGGTCATTGAGGCAATCATACCATGCATACATAAATTACCTTCATGAACGTGGAGAAAAGGATAAACTTTAACAACTTTTATGTTCTTTTTTTTAATATATATATATATATATATATATTAAAAGGAAGTTTTACCGGTAAATTTAGAAAAATGAACTACGGGTAATTTTTTATTCCGACCATCGTAGTTGTATCAAAAACTGTTTATTTTACATAATTTTTTAATATGATGTGATTTTAATTAAAATTAACGATTTAAAATAAGAAATTATCTGTAGTTTTTTTTTTTTTTTTAAATCTATGAGAGAAACTATCATATTAAAAAAAATAAAAAATTTCAGAGTTTTTTACACAGTTTCTTAACTTTTTTTTAAAAAATTTCTTTAGATCAAAATATCATGGTGAAGTTTAAAAACTTCCAAGAGGAAAAAAAGATGGCATTAATCAATTAATTTCCAGCAGACACATACGTGTAATCTTGTATTTGCCAGTTGCTATAACCATGCTATATTATTATATCGTCATGAGCATCTCGAGAACATTGTAGTTGGACTTGAATGATTATTGACCAAATAATATTATATTTTCGCATGTGGTGGGCCAGAAGTCTTTAAAATGTAAATAAAAAAAATAAAAAATAAAAACCAGGCTGGTCATATGGTGGCCTTTGTATGTATTGGAACATAATTAGTAAATTTCATATTTATAAATAAATAGAACATCACTTTTTTTTTTAGCCGGCCCTGGAGAGAAGCGATAAAAGGAGAAAAGGAGAGAGTGAGTAGGTTGGAATTCTGAGACCGCTTCTAGACGCATTATCGGGTTTTTGACTCTGAAATTTAGTTCTTGAATTCGTCTCGTCGTTGTCATCTACTTGATAGTGGCAGTGTGTGGAGTGGTGCTTTTATTAAAACGAATTTGACACGTTTTAAAAGTGAGGTGCCGTTTGTTAAGGTTATTGTCTTCAACATATTCACCAAATAGTGGCAGTGTGTGTGTAAAATTATATATATTGAAAAAATCTCATCAGTTTACTCATTATCAGTAATATACAACTATTTATGAAAGTAAATGAATATGTAACTTTTCAATGCCTCAATGATTATAGATTATTTTTTCTATCGGTTGTTACCAATAAAATTATAAAAAGAAATACATATCTTATTTAGATTTGAGGATTCGGTGTTTTATATGACTCGTTAAAGCCTGCTATATATATATAGAAAGAGAAAAATAAAGAAAAGCTAAGATCATGTAAATATTTGGACTTACCAATCCAACCCCGCATTTAACATATATGACTCTTTTATCAAGAACTTTTCCGACCCGAAATCGCCTACCTGCAAAGCTTAAAAAATTCCTTTTCCCTTATTACAAGGGAATAAAACAAAATTCTAAGGAAAGACATAAAATATCTTCCAATATTTCACATCAAATTTATGGTTATAAAGCCATTATATTTCTCTCTTATTTTACGGGATGCACATTAATATGACATAGAAATTTACAATGTTATATATGTAAAGAGAAAATAAAGAAATGCTAAAAGTTTAAATTTAGTACCTGAAAAATCGAGAAAAGGGTCATTAGGGTCAGGCTTGAAAGCCCCAGTGGAAAAGAAGGCGTTTTCTTCGGTTGGATATACAGTTATAAGGCCAATATATGGTCCTTTACGATTTACTTTTTTCAGAAGATGATATCTTGACCCTTTGCAGGATGGAACACAAAATGCATAACCAAGTAGTTGAGAGAACAAAATCGCCAAACCTAACCATTTCGCCATTTTTTCTCTCCAAGCTATTATTATATGCAACTTGTTTGCAATGAGCTCGCCTGATGATCTCCGAATATATATATATATATATATACACACACACGTGTGTGTGTGTGTATAATCTTGGTCAACTGCACATTTAACATGTTCTATCTTTATAGACCATAGCAATATAATATATTGAGTATATAATTGATTTTAATGCTTTACCTAGCTATTGTCGCGCCTAACTGACATATAGTAAGTAATTCCTAATTTCCTAGTCGGTGGATTTTAATATTTCACATCTTAACACACACACACACACACACACACACACAAAAAGTTACAATTTATTGAGATTTGAGACTAATTGAGGGATTGATTCTTCTGAATTTTTGTCAAACTGATATTTTACGACCTGAATTGTTTAATCAGGTACAAAATTATTCTCGTGTAGTATTTGTACAGATCCTTGGCAAAAAAGGTAAATTTTCTTTGAAGTAAACTTTGTGTGATCAGATGCGTATGTATGGGACCGATCCAATAAAAGAATCAATGAACAAATAAATGAATATATCAACAATATTTATATGCGTGTGCACACGTAAGCCATATATTTCATTGCTAATGGGCGCCTGTGCCTTATAATAAATGTTAGGTTGGTATTTTTTGTTTTTTTTTTTAAAGCCCTCTTTGACACCCCTCTTTTTTTTATTTAAATACTTTTTGAAAATATTTTACAGTTTTGAAAAAAAAAAAATTATATATATATATA